TCTTTCGTTGCTGCTTTAGTTTTCAGGCATCACTTTTTTGGTCTTAGATGTGCAGGTTCTTCTATAATCATCGGAAGATATATTTTGCCAGTCAAATATAAAACTTTAGTTGATTTATCTGGAGTTTGAAAAGCTGAGTCTAATAATCATACTTGTTAATTCCTCTCTGGCTTGAGGATTTATGTGTAAATAACCGTGCTTTAAGAAAAGGAAGTTGGCATATTTTATAATAGTAGACGGCGACGCCTTAGTATTTATAAACAACATGATTGTCCCTCTTCATTAGATTTTATTTGAATAATGCTGATCAACCTTCTTTAATCAGCTATTGGTCTACTACCAAATAATTGATTTCTATGTAGGGCGTCCCCCTTAGTCCATTTTTCACACTGGACTGAACATCCTAACCCAATGCTTATAGTTCATCCATTACTATTAAGTGGACCAAATGCATTGGTCATCCTGCTAAAATGGGATTATAATCTTGCAAGGCTGGCGCAGTCCCATTAAGCTACCTACCTTATGCGCCAAATGCAGAACTGGGATTTAATCTTATCTTCCCCTCTAGTCCGACCTTCGAAAATGTCCTAGATGATAGGATAATTAGTAGTTGCTTTTCTTCTCTCCTATGTTCTTTGTGTGGCATTAACTATACTTATGTTTCACTACTTGTTTGCAGGATGCTGGAATAGGAACTAGTATTGACTCTTTCTATGAGTATCTTCTAAAGGTTTGTAAGATCACTTGGAATGTTGAAACCTTCTTGTAGCTATGCAATTAGATTATTTGAAATGGAAGTATCAGGTTTTCAGGCACTAGATCAAATAGTTGATATCTCTATGTCATGACTGATGAGAAAAACTCCTAGAAATTAAATCGGAAAGAAAGGATAAGTGGTGCTGAAAAGTTATGTGGGAATGTTTTGTTGCTTTGCAGGGTTAACAGGGAGACATCATATAAAATTATTGCCTACAATAAACTAGTTTTATGGTCTTGTGGCAATCAGTTAGCCGGGAAGTTTGAGTGTTTGCTTAGTAATTCGGTGTGCCTCTTAGCTTTGGGACCTTTGCAATAATAACCATCAATTTAGAGATTGAGAACTCCTTGTTTTTCATAACTATGTTAGCAGAGAAACCATAGTCCCAACTTTTGGAATTCTACATCTAATGGTTTTTATGCCTCTGTTGATTAGTGTCTTTCACTTTCTTTATGGGGAATGAATATTTTATGATTTTTCTTTACTTTCAAGTTCTGCATATCTGATATATTCATTTTCACTAACAAAAGGGAGTTGTGACAAATGGTGATTTTGTTTTTTCTTGTTCTTTCTATCCTTTTTCTTTACCATTTCAGGCTTATTTATTATTTGGAGATGAAGAGTATCTATTCATATTTCAAGAAGCGTATGCTGCTGCTATGCACTATCTTTACAATGATCCATGGTAAATGCTACTAATTAGTATATGATTCTTTGTAGTTATACATTCCCTTTAACTTAATAGAACTTCAATTGTACTTTTGTTTGGTAGGTATGTAGAGGTAAATATGGATTCTGCTGCTGTTGTCTGGCCATTATTTAACAGTTTACAGGCATTCTGGCCAGGACTTCAGGTTTGTAATATGTTTTGTCATAAGATATTAATATGTATACTGTTGACATTGGATAGTTGAAAATTTGTTCATTAGGTTTCAGTGAGATTGATTACCTTATCTTTTGGAAGGTTTTAGCGGGAGATATTGATCCTGCAATTCGAACCCATACTGCCTTCTTTAGTGTGTGGAAAAGATATGGTTTCACTCCAGAGGGCTTTAATCTTGCTACGCTCAGTGTTCAGGTACCATAATCAACTTTTTCTGAACCCGAATACAATTTTTATTTACTCTTATTCGAATTGTTTGATTTTTTTTACTGGGTGCATGCTGGTGTCTCATTTAATGGTTTTATGCATCTAGTTACATCCATTTTTTCATAAGTGAAAACTAAACTGCTGTGCAACTTTGGAGTATGCTAGATAAAATCTTTTACCATAAGGTTATTATTAGAACTTGAGGTCTAGCTTTTATTCATGAATGGTTTGGTAAAAATTGCCGTACTGCTCTTTCCATCCCACTAGCCAAACAGATGGTCAGACAGGTCTTAGTTTGAGGTGTGAACATTTTGTCTTAGTTAAACCTCTGTGTATGGAGTCATTCTGTGATGGTACGAATAGTAGGGCAGTCCATGAAAACCTCTAGGCCAATGCCCCTATTTAACAATTAATTAGCGTCTTTCTTTCTCTCTCTCTCTTTTTTTTTTTTAATAACTTTCCAAGAATACATTTCCTAATCAATGGTTTTGTTTATAGTACTATAGATTTTAGATTTCACTTTATTATATCAACTGCATGTGTAATGTTTAAGTCTACATTTGTTTTTAGCATGGGCAACGAAGTTATCCACTGCGTCCAGAGTTAATGGAGAGCACATATTGGCTCTACAAAGCCACTAGAGATCCCAAGTAAGCTCGGAAATACCTCTGATTTGTGGATCCTTTTTTAGTCTTTTGTTAACATGTGTAAGAGGGACACTTCTGTTACCAAAAAAAAAATGTATACTTCAGAGTAGGCATTTTAAAACCATGTCTTATGTATTTCTTTGTAGATATCTTGATGCTGGACGAGACATGGTTGCCAGCTTGCAGTACAGTGCACGATGCCCCTGTGGATTTTGTCATATATCAGACGTTGAGTTCCACAAGCAGGAAGATCATATGGAGAGCTTTTTCCTAGCAGAAACAGTAAAAGCTTAGAACTCAAATATCTTATCTTCATATGTCTCTCAGTAGAGTAAGATTATTATGGAAAAATACATATGAAAATCTTAATTGAATTGTTTTGTTATTGCTAGAAGACGAATTTGTAAGAATATAAAACTTATTAAGAATTTATGTTGGGAGTGGGACGGAGGATGGTGGGTCTCAATTTTTGCAAATATATCTCTGTGACAAGATGTTGTTGGGGATTAATTTCTTAACTCCTTTGTCTAACACATTCAATGCTTTCCTACGGGTTTGTCTTCAGTTCCATTTTTTCATTCATTTATTTTATTTTCTTCTCTTTCATTACATGTTATTAACAACTTGTAACACAATTAGGTTAAATACTTGTGGCTTCTTTTTGATTTGGCTGTGGGACCAGATAACCTTGTTGAAAATGGGCCATACAAGTAAGTTCTGCACACCCCTATCATTATGCTTTAGTGCCATAACTTATTTCCATAAAAGAGCTAACTTATCTATTTTTTACATGTGTGGTGGAAATGTCTCCTTCTGCAGGTACATCTTTAGTACCGAAGGCCATTTATTGCCTGCAACCCCTGAAATATCTCTTGTGCAGGAACATTGTTCATATTTTGGGGCTTATTGTAACACTGGCAACATGGGAAATGAATCTCATGCATCAGATGTCGCAAGTAATCCTCAAGAAACTAATGATGGTAGCTTATATGGAAGAGTTTGCACTAGATTTCCTTCAGGCTCCACTTTTTCTGATTCAACCCCTGTATCAGGATTGATAAAAGTGAGTATTGCATACTGGGCATTTCTCTAAAAGCATTATAAAGTTCGAAGTATTACATAAGTATAGGGGCTAGGTCTCCGTAAGTTTATGCATTATTAAAGTATCACTTTGAAGTCTATTGAAAATTTCTTGTCACTTTGCAGGGTGTTTGCCCAGGACTAACTCATGGGCAAAAGTTCGGTATATCATATGTGGCATCAAGCCACAGAGCTCATGAGGAGTCCAGGAACCAAAGAAAACCAACTGTTGCAGAGAGCCATTCACTGGTGGTTGTCCCGGGCCAAACTTCTGAGTATTCACCATCAGAGAACAAGAATTACCACGAGAAATTCTCCGAATCGAGTGAGGGAGGATCAGTGAGTGATACACCTCAAAAACGATGATGGCGTCTTTTTTATTAAATTGAACTTCTTTGTAGTTGGTTGGAATTGCAGCCTCAGAATAATCATTTCAGCCCCTTCGGTGCTCGTCCTATATTCTTCTGCTAAAAGATCATCAACAAAAAGAATGATTCTGGGAAGGGTCTGGCATGTCAAACTGATTGAGGCTGTTAATTGGAAGCCTTGGAACTGCTTGAGATTCTCAGATTCGGCCTTCATATAAATTATGCGGCAATTGCTTACAGAATGAGCATGGAGCTTTAGGGTAGAAATATAGACACGAAGAATGAGGCTATGTCAGAGATCTGCCTTGCTGGTTATAGTACTGTCCCTGAGACCCGAACACCGGCACTTCTTCACCTGTTAGGCTCATGTTACTTGGCATAGTAACTTAATTTATGTACATTTTTATTTTATTTTTGGTAGGTCACAAAAGTTTGATTATCTGCGGGGGTCGTCTGCTTAGAGAAAACAGAGTCCAATATGTGTAGGCGGCAGGGGCTGGACATTTTCACCCATGATACTCATGTGAGAGGACCCTGATTTAGAGAGATACCTTAGTTTCACAATATGTACTTAAATACAACACAGGCGAGAGAGGCTTAATCTAGCTGATCTTACTCTTACATATAGAGTTAGAGTTGATTCTTCGTGGGCTTGTGCCTATTTTGACGATTGGCGATTCTGATGTTTCAAGCTTTTTGAAGGATTACGGTAGTTTTAAATCTCTATGTTTTTTAGTTTCCATATCAATTATTTGAACTGTGGTGCTAAGAAATGTGGTATAAGAGGCTTGTAGCTCAAGTGGTTACGAGCAGTTATTTATGTGCCCGAACACAAGTGGTTATGAGCAGTTATTCATATATTGTCAAGTGTTCAAACCTTCCCCAAATCACGTGTATCCAAAAAAAAAAAGGTATAGGAATTCATTTTTATGGATAAAAAAGCTAGAAGAGAGAGGTTGTACCCCTTTTTGACCTAAACAACAACACTAAAGTTAATTGAATGATGGTGCCCCCTTTTTCTTTTTGGTTAAATTGTTTCTTTTCATTTATAGAAAAGTTTGATTATTCCTACTATGCAAAACAAGCTTGAACTTTATTTGGGCCCACTCACCATGCCCAATTTCTTTTCTATCTCGCCGTCAATTTAAATACTTCCCGTGACCGTTAGAATTTCGTCCTTCCATTTGGCGCCATGAAATGAATCACTCGCTATTGAAAACTGTGAATAAATGCCAAACTCTCAGATCCTTGAAATCCATCCATGCCCATCTTTTAGTCACCAGCTCCGTCGTCTCGTCCAACCTTATCCTCAACAAGCTCCTCAGGCTGTACTCGCGCTTCGGAGCTATCAGTTATGCCCGCAAGCTTTTTGATGAAATTACTGAACCAAATTCCTTTCTTTGGACAGCCTTAATTCATGGGCATGTTGAGAATCGTCGATATGAAGAAGCATTTTCTCTATTTACCCAAATGCATGGTGAGTCCATTGAGCTTTTGAATTTTACTATTGCGTCTGTGCTCAAGGCTTTAGCTCGGGAGGGTAGAGTTAAAGATGGGGAAACAATTTATGGGTTGGTCTTAAAATTTGGATTTGGTTCTGACTTTACTGTTCAAAATGCGGTACTTGACTTGTTCATGAGATGCGGTAAAGTTGATGTTGCTAGGCGGATATTTGATCAGATGGATGAAAAAGATGTGGTTTCTTGGAACTCGATGATCTCCGGCTACGGAAGTAATGGCAGAGTTGATGTTGCAAGGCAGCTGTTTGATTGGATGCCTGAGAGGAATACAGTTTCATGGACAAGCATGATTTGTGGATATGTTAAGTCTGGGGACATGGCGGAGGCAAGGGTTCTTTTCGAGAAACTGCCAACTAAAGACTTGGTGTCATGGAATGTGATGATTTCTGGGTACACCAATGCTAGTGATGTTGACAAAGCTCTCTGTTTATTCGAAGTGATGCCAATTCGTGATATTGGGACTTGGAATCTGATGATTTCAGGGCTCTGCAAAGCAGGAGATATTAAACGAGCAGAAGATTTCTTCAACATGATGCCAAATAAGAATGTTGCTTCATGGACCATAATGATGGATGGTTATATAAAATCTGGCAACGTTAATAGTGCGAGGAGCTTATTTGATCAGATGCCGGAGAAGAATTTGGTTTCTTGGTCTACCATAATTGGGGGTTATGCAAGAAATGGGGAGCCCCACAGTGCTTTAGAGATGTATAAACACTTCAAGGAGCTAGGAGTTAGACCAGATGAGACTTTTATATTGGGAATCATATCGGCTTGCTCACAGTTAGGAATTCTAGGTACAGCTGAATCGATAGTTGGTGATTATGTTGGACAATCAACTCTGTCTAATCTACAAGTAGTGACAAGTTTGATAGACATGTATGCAAAATGTGGAAGCATTGAAAGAGCTACACAACTGTTTAAAATGACCCGTAAAAAAGATTTGCTTTGTTATAGCACCATGATTTCAGCCTTCGCTAATCATGGATTGGGTCAGGATGCCATTTCTTTGTTTGAGGAGATGAAAAAGGAAGGCATAAAACCTGATGGTGTAAGTTTTCTTTGCATTCTGAGTGCTTGTAATCATGCTGGTCTAGTCACGGAGGGCAGGAGGTACTTTAAACAAATGACAGTTGAATATAGAATTCATCCTTCTGAGAAGCACTATGCATGTATTGTTGACCTTCTTGGTCGTGGCGGGTGCTTAAAAGAAGCTTACAACCTTATATGTAAGATGCCATTTGCAGCTCCTTCAGCTGTATGGGGTGCTTTACTTGCAGCCTGTAGGGTCCATCGCAATGTCCAACTGGCTGAAGTTTCCGCATCTGAATTATTCAAGATTGAGCCGGACAATTCTGGCAACTATATCTTGTTATCCAATATCTATGCTGCTGCGGGAAAATGGGATGGTGTTGCGAAAGTGAGAGCGCTGATTAGAGAGCACAGGGTTAGGAAAAATAGAGGCTCTAGTTGGATTGAGTTGGGAAGTGAAGTCCATGAGTTTGTTAAGGGAGATATGTCCCATTTTGATTCAGAATGGATATACCTTATATTGGATTTGCTTAAGGAAGATATGAAGTTCCTGGGATATTTAATGGACTTTGAAGAGAAAGAAGAATTGTCAACCTCTACATGGCATTCTGATATGTTCTCTTACAATATATTTGGAAGATGGATGATGGAAATGATATGATATGATATACTGAAGAAATTGTGTGGATTTTCTGGCATGATATTTTCGAAGTCTTCTGATTTAAAGGTCCCCTATATGGCTTTTTGTTGGATGCTGTCCACCAGTGTCTCCGTTTCCCTTCCTTTCTGTAAGGGGACACTTAACTACGATAATAATGCAAGGTTGTATCTTCCTCTGATGAGAATATTTTTTTTGAATTAAATGGTTTCTAAGAGTGTTTGATCTTCATTTTCAAGAGCCACAGAATAGTACTAATCTCAGTTTTGAACTGTCAAAAATCACCAAGGACACCTTATAAGGTCACAATTAATTTAATTCCTGGGCAAGAACCAATTTTGATTCCCAAGTTTTTAAATCAAGTCGAAGGGTTTTGTGACTTATCAAATTGGTATAATATGCCGATAACCAATTTTGTGATAGTAAGAAGAGTTTCCCATCAGACTCAACCAAGTGAAGTCCATATAGCCCAATCCTGAAGTGCAACTCAATGACTATGAGAGAATCTAGGGATGAGGACTCTTTCGCTTTGCCTTGCGGGCCAAACAAGCTGTATTAATTGCTAAAGGTTGCATTTTTCGGTTTTCATCTTGCTGGAGTAGCTCAAGATATCAGTAATACGAAGTTATGACAGAGGTATGCTCTATTGCTTTGCTTAACATGTTTATTTATATCTTCACCTTTGTTTCTCTTTCTTTTCTTTGTTGAGATTTTCAAATAATATTATTAATCTTCTTTTTTTTATAAATTTATCTGACTGCAGAATAGGTTGTTATTTCTGTAGCTGGTTCTTTTAGAATATGCAACTCCAGTAGAATATGCTAAACCATTTTCTAATAAATTGCTGCAATTGGATCTAAGCATCAAACTTACATCTGAATTAGCTCATAATCACTTGAGTCAAGGCTTAAATCACCTTTAACATGTCAACTAAAAGACAAGAGTGAAATAGAAGATAATTTTGATGTTTAAAAGATAAATAAAGGGGGTTTCAAAACCCTGCATCAAAACTTCTGACATGTTAGCAATAAAATGTTATAAAAGTGTAATTGAATGAAAAAGATCACATGGAATATGCAGCCATTTAGAATAAAAAAGGAAAAAGGGAAAGTTAAAAGCTTTGAAACATTATATCTAAAATATAAGTTGTAATGCTTCAATAAAGATGACCTTGTAATATAAACAAAGAATACACTGCAGTCAGATGCATCCCCTGCTAATGACCCATGTAGTAATACAATATTAGTCAATACAATGTTTACGAAGTCCCAAAAATTTTCTCTTTTCCTGTTAAGATTTCCAGACAAAAGAAACAAAATTTAATCATTTTACTTAATCACCGACTTTGCTGACATGTCTGGTAATTAGGGTAGATTTATAGACAGCCATATCTTAAAAAGCCAGGAGAAAAGGAAAATCCATTTGCTGGGTTTAAAAAAGTGTTTTAAGAGTAGAAAATATATATATATATATACAGAAATTCTCTTATGCGGACATCCGGACGTTATTATCGTGCGGACGCCGTGTATTTGGTACTACCCCTCCGTGTATTTGGTACTACCCCTCCCTATATATAAATGTTAATGATTATTTTAGCTGAAGTCTTAACTTTTCAACTTGAAGAGACTTTACATGTTTTACTTAAGTCTCTCTACTCATTGATCCTAAAATCTTACTCAAAAAATTAGTTCTGGTGGAATTGGAAAACCCTTGAATATTTTATTTCTACAATACAAATGACTCGAGGACCATGTGCAAAGAAAAACATCAAAGCTGAACTATCAACATCTTTGGATGACCAAATTGCAATTGTGTGACTACATATATGACCATGATGTTTCCCATTTAATTGTTAAGAAAACTAATGGTATGGTGATATTTCTATGGCTGTCTATGCTTTGGATGAATTATCCACAGAAACAAAGAAATCTTTTGTGATTTTTGTTTGCCTCTTTCTCTTAAATGATTGTCATCTTCAGATAGCAAAATAACTGAGAAGTTTTTGTTCCCATATAGATTGCCCTATATAGCCTTCAACTATGCTTGATGTCCAGCAAGTGCTTGGTAGATAGAAATTTAATGGAGACTGTAGTTTGTGATGGAAGATGATTAATTGATAGGATTCGATGCATCGGTAACCAGTCAAATATTTCACTACCCCTGTCATGAACATCTGAATCTGCTACTATTGTAAAATGTTTGCATGTGGTTGGAAATTTGATCATGTTTAGGGAGTAGAGAGGCCCAAGATCTTTTAAACTATTTGGTAATGCTTTAATTCCTCGACGTGGGATTCATATTCTCAACAACTCAATCATGTTTAGGAAGTGGATATGAAATTGAACATTGAATTATTGAACATCCAAATCTTTCTCAATTTGGATAACACCTTACACATTATCTTTTGCTCATAACACTTAAATGTATTCCAGAAAGAAAGGGGTACAAAATCTGCATGCAATCTGAAAATTCTACACATATATTCAAATATGTATAACTTTATAATATATATATATATATATATATATATATATATATATCAAATAGTACATTACTCATAACCAAAACATGAAACATGTCACATCTTCCCTTTATACAATCTCTTTGGAACCAAAATCTCTCTCTGTATCCTCAATCCACAACAAATCTTGCTTCCAAACTTATGGAATGAATCTGTAATTACTTCCACTAGATATCTTCTGCTTCTGTCTACAATTCCAATCAACTCCAGAGAAGACCTGCCAGAAGTCAAGGAGACTAAGATCTGAATATCTTCTTCGATAACCCAAGCTGTGAGATTAATTTGCTCTCCATATCATGTGATATAGAGAGAGAGATATATAGAGATATCTCTTTTCTTCTCCCTGCTCTTATGGGTTGCCCTCTCTCCCTCATACACCACACCCCAAGCCTCTGGCTTCTGATCCTTTCATGATTCTGAGCTTCTTGCAGGACGACATGAACATTTCCCATGGAACATCTCCAACCAGCATCCAGTCGCCATCTTTGTCCTCATAAGTAGGTGCATATTCTGAGCCTTTGTAGCCTTCCCTCTCTGAGTATTGGCCTGGAAAAAATAAAAAATCAAGGTCATAATCAATTACTAATATTCTATTTTTCATCAAGAATTAACTTTACATCAAGCAACAAGAATAGATTAGATCTGATAGTCAATATTTTCTTACCTATAGTGAATTTGAACATGACTTCTAAGGCCTTTAGGAGTTCTGGGTAGCCTTTGTAAACCCTCAGATCAATTTTTCTGAGGTAAGGTGCTCCATCCATGCTTACTTTCACATAAATCCCAGAAATCTCAGCCTCAGTCTTATTTGCCTGAAGGCTATTCTTCCTGTAAGATCTGATTGGTGGCCAGCCCACTATTTGTGCCCTGTCACATCAAAAACTCAAATTTATGAGCACAATATTTCAAATCTAGTTCATACCATTTCCAATGTTCTTAAATACTAGAAATTCATCTCAACAAGAAGATTAGTCCTAAAAAAAAAAGCAGACTTACTTTGCAGGAGGGGTTTCCTTATGAGCATCAGAGGTTCCCTTTGATGCATACTCTTCTTCACTTTTTGTATCAGGCAAAGCTCTCTTCTTGTTAAGAGCACTAGGCAGCTGCCCTACTGCTTGAACCTCATCACTTTCGTCTCTTCCTGGCAACCCCAATCTCAGCTCTGTTGCCTTAAGGTTGAGATCATTCTCATGTGTCTTGCTTTCCATTTTTTCCAACAATCTTCAATGAAAACAGATGAGTAGTAAACGAACTTCTTGAACCTCAAAAACAAAACCCAATGATCTGCTCTAGCAAAACCAATAAACCCAATTGAAAACCAACTTCTTTCTGGTTGAGGCAAGTTTCCTTCTTTCTTCTTTTGTTTGTTGCAGAGAAGTTTGAGAAATGTGTTTGGTTTGTGGGGAGGTGGGAATGCAAGGTTTGTATTGTATTTTATAGATATGATAAAGGAAGGCGTAGAGCTGTGAAAGGCCCTTTGTTTAATTGTTATTCTCTCTCTCTCCATTGCATGAATTATGGACAAAGGAAAGCTAAGCTGTCGGTAGCAATAGCAGCACCTTTGAGGCAATTTGCCCCTGCGTTTGGGGGACAAGAATGGGACAAGCTCAGCCACCCCTATGCAAGACTGTGGACTCAGAAGGACGGTCAAGATGCGTTTTGGGGGATTGTGGGGAAGCAATCGGGACCCTTGGTTTTAAGGGAGGGTTGGGGAGCATCTCCATGTGAAAAGGGACCACATGGATGTTTGGTATGAGCATTAGCATCACCATGTGAGACTAAACTGTGGCACTCCCTCTTTTACTTTTTTCTTTTTAATAAATAAATCAGGGAAGTTAAAAATCCTGACTCAACCACTCTTACCATAACTCATAACCAGTTCCTAAGTTTATGTAAACTTTATTTTCTTTAAATTTAACTCATTATATTCAATTTATTGTTCGTATTCTTTTGCTATAAACAGGGAATCGAACCTAAAACCTCGTGTGCAAGAGCAAATACGCTACCACTTCAACTACAAACCCTTGCCTAGTTTGTATAGAGCAATACAATTTTTCTTTCACCAGGGAGGCCTGCAGTTTAGGGTTTATTGTCTGGTAACACCGAATTCCAGAACAGGTTTGACCCGATTTACGTGCAATTCAATCTTGATGTGTATATAATAAGCATTACAATTGTTTGACTGAATATTGCAGATAAGATGACTTAGTAAGAGAAAAAAAAAAAGACCCTTCATAGCCAAGCATATGAAATCCAAAACAAGAGTGGACTTTTTCTTGTTCTAAGTATCTAATCTATAACAAGAACTGTTGTGACTCAATAACCAATTTATTTTGCTTTCAAAAGCGCAGACCTAGATCCATTATAGGAGAAAATTATGGAGCTCTGATTATTATAACACAATTGTATAATCTTAAGTCTTAGTGCCATGGTTTATGGGGGATTAGGCATTAGCAAAGCAAGGTTATGTTTATTTAAATTATGTCCTTTTAATATGGGGGATCAAAAGTAAAGGTTGGTCAATTAATTAAAAACTAATTCAAAGGGCTCAAAAACAATGAAACACTACCCTTTTTTCTCCTTATCAAGATGAAACACTGCAACGTTTGTAATTCAAGTGTTTAAGAGTATTGACTCCCTGCATCAATTTTAGATCCTAGGTTTGATTCCCCCTTCCCCAATATCGTTTGTATCAACAAAAACAAAACACTACCTTGCAATTGATCATGACCTTAATCGGGTGAGTCCCACCCTTTCAATTGGACCATCTTCATGCTCATATAGTAGTGCTTGTTCAATGCATCTTAACCTACTCGTATATTATTGCATTTTGGTCCATCCCTTCCCTGCCGCACTCGTGCGCGTTAAAAAGATGATCAATTATTGTCATGAATTAATGCTCTCTTCTCAAATCTCAACTTCTCATATTCTTATCCACACATTAGCGAAACCAACATATTAATCTCATCGTATGAACTATTTTATAACAATCTTGTCAATTTGGTTGAATGCCAAGCATTCAGTCGTTTGGAACCAAACTTGCTATCATTTGGATATGAGTAAGGAAAGAAACCTTTCTGGATATATGATCTAGAAAGCTTTGTTAACCTTTTTGAAGATTCTTCGAACTGGTTTCCTTGATTTTTTTTATTTTTTATTTTCCTATAATAGTATGCTTGCAATGCCCATATTTATAGAATTTTGTTACAAAATCAACTTACTAAACGACAATGAATTCAAATTATCTATTTATATTTTCTATGATATTATTATGCCTCATAATCTCACATATATGGCCAAAACTTAGTCATTTTTAGGCCTCCAACTAATTATCCCTTTCAATATTGAATTTCAAATGATTTTTAAAAAAAATAGAGGGAGGTATTCGAACTTGGAACCTCTTCTGACATTGAGATTAAAACATCATTAGACTAATAGCTAGTTCGTTTGATAATGCTAAATATAAATATTGAAATTCTATAATTTTCGCCGTAAGTATCTAACACAAAAAAAAAAAAAAGGATTAAAAATATAAATATAGTTGCATGTTATAGTGCAAAATATTGTTATTTTCCAGTCTGAAACTTTGAAGCATTTCTATCAAGGAACAGGATGAGCATTGTACGAATTCAACGTTAAGCAATTTCACCCTGTTGGCCTTGTCGGGAATTTTGTCATTATTGCTTTATCAATGAGCAGATAGCAACGCATATATTCATGCTGAAATCCACAAAGTTAGCTGAAATTTGTGGCATGCAAGCCACGAACATATATGGCAGAATTCAGTGATTCAGATAGATCAGTATCCAAGCTGCTTGCACTTGTGGTGCCTGAACTATAAACTTGGCCGCTTGCTGATCAATCAAGCCAAGAAACTCAACAAGTTAAGAAAGAAAACGATGCACAACTACTATTTAATAATCAAATTTAATTTCATTAGGTCTAAATTTTCAGCTTTTGATCGGACCGCTTGAAATCCAGGTTGGACATGATATGACTCATCAGTAAATTGCATGCATGAGAGAGAGAGAGAGAGAGAGAGAGAGAGAGAGAGAGAGATGGAGATTTCCAGGTCGACAATCTTTGACCAAGTATAGGGTTGCATATGGACTATGGATTTGCATTCGTGGAGCACAAAGATTGTAATTAATGTTTGGAATCCAAGAAAATTGAGACGTGTGGTGGTGATGGCTCTGCATGAGATTTGGATATGAAGCATTGATATATAAGTTCCTCCTTCCTGCCTGCTATGTTTTATTGACTTGATATATATCAAAACCTAATTGTATATATCCTTATTTTGAGCTGTAATTGCTCCAGTCCAGCCCAAGATATATCAGCCCTCAAGTTGCCTGAGGGAAATATTACTTTAACATTTCAAGTGCTTACTAATTAGTCGAGTTTAGCCAAACAAAAATGCTTTAGAATCCAACTTTTTTTCTTTCTTACTCCAAATCTCTTATATGAGACGAAAAATACGCGTAGGAAAAAAATTGGGTTTTATAGCAGCTTCCTCAACTAACAAAGTTAATTATGAAACCTAACTGGATGTTCACATGTGGAGGTTTTTTTACGATAAATGGTCATGTGGTATAATTTGTCTACGTGTTATAATAAAAGTGAATATTTATTGATATTATTTCTTAAAAGGGGGAAATATCAATCTCACGGTACCACATTCTAGGGGTGGCATTTTATACCGAAAAACGGCAAAAACCAACCGATAATTTACCGCAATGAAACCGCAATCGCGGTAAACCGAACCACATTTGCGGTATTTAGAACTGAACCGCATTTGCGGTTGCGGTTGCGGTATTTGATTTTCAAAACTTGCGGTTACCGCAAACCGCAAATATATTTTAAATAATATTGTCTATATTATATTATATGTAAAATATATTTCATACAACATATTTCATACAATATTTTCTATTCACACCCATTATTTATGCTCATGTTATTTATGCTTCTTCTTATAATAAAATGTACTAAACTTATGTTATTTTATTTTGTAGATAGCATTGGTGCTCAAACAACACAACGGGGTTCTTCAAATCCACTCACCACCACCAACACTTGAGTTTGTAACATTGGTGCATTGCATTTTCCTTTTAGTTTGTAACTTTAATTAACTTTGAATTGGATTTTCTTTTGGGTTGTAACTTTAATTCATTTTGCATTGCATTTTCCTTTTGGTTTGTAACTTTAAAGAATTTGGAATTGGAATGCTTGAGAAGTTTAACTTTAATTGGAATGCTTGGAATTGAACTTTAATTTTCTTTAGGTTGTGAATGCTTGAGAAGTTGAGGAGATTGTGAATTTATATATGCTTGAGAAGTTGGATTTTTATGACACAAAAAGAACTTGCGGTTTTAAACCGCTAAGTCACGGTAACCGACCGCTTTTTGCGGTTTACTGCAATGCGGTAAACCACAAAACGCGGTCGATTTGTAGTTTCAAAAATCACCATACTGCAAATAGTCGGTCGGTTTGCGGTTTGGACAAAAATTCGCGGTTACCGAACCGCAACCACCCCTACCACATTCTATAATTTCTAGTTGTCCTGTGGGTATGTTGCCATGCATGCAAATATCCTTTTGGGACTGAGATTCAAATTACCTATTACATTTCAGTACCCAATAAGAAAACTAAAAGCAAACTTGACAACTCTGATTATGGCGTGGTGGCTACCAAAAGAGACACTGAGGCCCAATACAGGATGTCAAAGCAGGTTGGAATATATTCTTGAATGAAAATTAGCAAGTCGGTGCATATATATATATACACACAGAGA